GTTTTTTTCTTTTTTTTTTATCCGATGGGTGTGTAAGGGTGTATGTATACTAGCAAGTAACGTGGGAGATTTTTTCCAGTAGTGACTTGCAGAAGTGTTTCTCTTTACACTTTCATTTGATTTTACGTAGTTTATTTTAGTTTATTTTAGATTATTTCAGATTATTTTGGTATATTTTAGTTTATTTTAGTTTATTTCATTTTGTTTAATTTTATTACCATCGCAACTTGCTACCAGCGATTGTCACATGCATTTATGTAAGTTACGAGAATCGCTATCACAAAAGAAGATGCAATCCTAAATGAAAAAAAAGAGGTTACGTAAAATCAAAAATCCCTTTTACACTCCGAAACAAATTATAAAAAACTTATTTATTTTAATTTTAAAACGAAGGGAGGATCCATGTATTAAGGAAAGAAGCAGGAAAATTTACAAAAAACCTGCTAGCCAAGAGATGTGAACGTAATTGCTTTTCGCTGGGATTTCACCGGATTTTTATACAGAGTTTGCGCGTTGGCGAGGATAGAAAATTTCGGAGTTTAGAGGAACACTTTAGAATTCGGAAACACTCCTCTGAAGACGATATCTGCTCCACCCTGGTACGAGCTGAATAATTAGCTAGTTTCCGAATTACTGACGACGCCCGCTTCAGAAACATCGAAGCAGCAGTGGATGTCTGCGTTTTACGACTGTGTTCGAACAATCTGAAAGAATCGTAAAGAAACGGGCTTGCCGTTCCGTGGAAGAGCATCAACAAAGTTTAATTTCGAGACGTACGTATCGTCGAGGAAGATTCTGTGTTGAAACAAGATAATGATAGTACCATCCGGATAGTAGAGAAATATTTGTTTAATTAAGAAAACCAAATCTCTCTTTGCATGTCAAAAGCCAGTTACAGTACAATACATTTAATCATAAAGAATATCGTCGATTACTTAGTACATATTGACAAAACGAAGTATGTTTTAAATGAAGTTTACTTAAATACCTCATACTTATAACTGGATGATATCAATTCAATAAATTAAGCTCAAAGAACAAAATATTTTAATCGGAACCGATTTCATTTTTAACAAGATTTAGATGGGTCGAGATAGGTCGACATAAAACAAGCAATATCGATTACAAACAAAGAATAAATGATTTGAACTTTGATGTTAATTTTGAATGTTTCTAACGGATACTTTACTTTTGAAAATGTTGTATTATTCGCATTAGTATTTGTCGTTAATGACCAGGCTATCGATGCAATTTTAAATCCTTATATAAAAAAGAACAGTCTGGGTTTTGCAATGACAGAGAAAATAATTGTCATTCCTTTGAAACATGTCATTACATTAAATATTCCTTTCATAAATTCTACTTAGGTCTACCTATTCGTAAATACTATTCAGATGATACGTTGACTAATCGTAAGCAGAAGAATACGGTGTTTTAAAATAAATTAAACAGTAACCGCGCATTTGTTATGCATGTCTGCATTTTAAATGGTGGGACAGGGATGTTGTTCGCAACAGTTTTAGATTGTTTTTTGTTTTTTTTCCATCCTATATTATATACTATGTATTATATACATAATCCTATATTATATATTATGATGGAAAAAGAAAACAAAAAACAATCTAAAACTGTTGCGAGCGACATCCCTAACTGATCATTTAAAATGCAGACATACATAACAAATGCGCGGTTATTTTTTAATTATAAGTAATACATATATATTCATATATATTATGTTCTTCTATAGTTGTTACCAAAACGGTTCATTTCATTGAGTATTGAAAGGTTCTGTTTTTCCATAATATCCAACGTATAATATGGAACTATTTTTTTTATTGTACAATAAAAAATATACGACTCAATTAAAAAAAACGAACTTGTTCTTCACATGGCTTTTACAAGTTCTCTTATTCAAAGATTAATTACACGAAACTATAATCGTCTTAACACCCTTAAGCTTTTCTCTGAAACATTTTTCACTAAATTCGTTACTTGTGCAGTAATCGAAGAGGTTCCAATTAGGTGGCCCACCCTACATGTAACACACAGCTAGAAATACGATCTCTTACATACAGGTTCTCTACAATGATCTAACCAGAAGAAGAAAAAAAGGAGATGAAATAAAAGGGTGTTGATTAAATGCGCGCAGAGCATTTAAAACACCTCTTCTTTTTCCTTTGCTTCCTTTAATAAATGCAAGTAATTTTACACGAGTATCTGCTGTAACATTTCCTGAAGTTAACAAGATATATAGTCAGCAACGGAAGTATTTGAACAGCATGGTAGAAAATAAATTATCATTAACGAAATTGTACACCGTATATTTCTATTTATTGAAACAAATTGCAATTCATGGAATATACATGCAAGAAAATTAAAGAAATATTTAACACTATACATACAAATTACGGAACATTTATTGTGTCTAAGCATGCGTAACGTTTGAATATTTTTATTGCTGACTGTACGTAATAACCAATGTAGACATGAATGATTATTTGATTAACATATAGATATTGTTATTTAGTTTATAAGAAAAGTATTTAGTTTATAGTGAATAAAAAAGATCGTTTCTAATTCAACGGATCACAAAATCAGCTATTTTTCGATGACTTTTATCGTTTTCATACTAACGAATGACTAACTTATGTTCCTCTATCGTAGTTTGTTTTCGTCTTTGCTCCATCACAAATTATTTCAACTAAAATAATTTTATTAGGTTTGGGAGAATACTGTATAAGCATGTAAATGTTTCTTAATATATTTCCGATATTATTCTTTTTCGTATGGGTAGTACGTATACTTTACCATCATCTCCACCTTGGACAAATACGGAAGATTAACATCAACATTTTTATTTTCAAGTTCAACGAAGATTACCCTATTTTATATTTTATTTATCACGTTAAATCCTACGATTACTGTGTCCCATTTTGACTGTGAGTCACTGTATATATCAAGCAGAATACGTAATTACAATTGGACAAAAATCAACAAAGGAACAACCTAATCCTTATCTAAACGAAAACTGTACTAACACGTTCACGCCGGCGTGTAACACCGGTGGCTCACCCTTGGATGTCACATCAGACGGCGTTAAAATGGTTTGGTAAATAGAAAAGAATTGCCATATACTTGAAAATGAATTTACTGATTGATAATTCCAATATTTTCCAAAATTTTAAGAATTTCGCCGCCAGATGGGAAAAACGTGAATTACAGCGGCGGCGTGAACGTGTTAAGTCTAAAGGTACTATATAATCCAGTATAATTTATAGTCTCTTATGCTATGTGTAACTGTAACAATAAAACCATTGAAATTTTTTATTCGTATCTTTCCAGGGTACAGTAAGCCTCGGTTAGAATGTCCGAAAGATGTGATCGCGGAGTTACCACCGGGCAGGGACGAAGCCTTTGTGACGTTTGATCAACCGTCAACGGATCTTGATTGGTTCCGGTACGTCAGATCGAAGCCGTCATGGGGAACAAGGTTAGAAGCAAACCTGCCATCCGGGACCCACGAGATCATTTTCTTCGCCCGACACCCGGTATCGAAGAAGCAGGCAAGCTGCGTGCTTCGCATTATCGTCAAAGGTAATTAGTTAACGCACGTGCATGGAATCGATGCATGACATGTAAACTCAACCCGATCATAATCTGTATTGATCATCAAACATTGTTACCAATCAACAAGCAATCCAGTTCGCAAGTCCGGAGATATATCGAGGGACAAGATCGCGGTCGATTTATCTTGTTACTGACCGACTGTCAGTTCGGCTATACATTTGAAATGATCGATTAATCGATTGTTGTTGTTATTATTATCATCATTATTATTCGACGAAATACATGTTTCAATTGATCATTTTTATACAATACTTACAAGAATTATAAAAACGAGACGTTACAATGACAGAAAGAGCGTATATTATCAAGATAAGTGTTTAAACGTTATTCACTCCGATTAATATGATATACAATAGCGGTCAATAAAATTCCACGAATACCTTAATTTCTTAATTTACCCTTGTTTAATATGTACAACATTCATAAATTCGATAAATGTATATTTATTTCCACTTATTTTCCGATTCATTGCAATAAATTACGTTTTGTGTAATGCGAATCTAACCTTTAGTGCTGGGATATACAGGCTTTTACCATGCAGACGAAAGCAATTGCTATTTAAATCATTGCTTATTTAAAAAATAATGATAAAAACGAAGGCTAACGAAAAGTAAGCGTGGATGTTATTATTTCGTACCGAAGAATAGCGTGGAAACATCTTCCGATGGATAAGGATGAAGACGAAGAGATGGGTTTTAAATGTTTCCTCCACTGGGCATTAATACTGACGTTAGAAGACACTTGAACAAGATGGCGCGTTGCCACCGTATTTACGAGTAGCGTCGCGTCGCAGTGCCAAGAAGACATCACCGCCAGGCAAAATACATTCTGCGAAGCAAGATAGACGCGGGTCTAACGTAATCGTCATATGCAAATTTCGCATTGCGGCTCAAAGAAGTTCCCCCTGTTCCCTGGAATTTCAGCCGACGGTTTAATTAAATGCGTTTCTAGGATAGGGTTCGCCACAATGCTATATAATCTACGGATCGCTGGTCCTTGCCCCGCCAATTAGATTATTTGATGAGTCCTACTGAATGCTTGACTAATTCTTGCCAGCCAGCATTCAACTCGTAACCCCTTTCGATTGAATCCTGATTGCTTGAAGCATAGCTGTTAGATACATCTTCTTTCATTGTTCCCACGGATCGATTCGCAGTGTTATTTTACTCAACTTCTTATTTTTCTATTTTTTCTCTATTTCTATCGTAACCAGTCAAATAACTGGTTGTAAAATAAAGGTGAACGGTTTAAGGGATACATTTTGTTTTATTGAAACCGGAAACAAAAGGAATGGAAAAAATTGGAAAACTATTTAATCGGACGATGTAAGAATTGATATAACGGGCAGAGGAAAATGCAGAATGTTAAATCGATTTTTATAACCGTCCTCGCGACTTGAATTATATATTATTATTATATATCTTATCGTTAACGCTATACTAGACATTTAAAAATTGTTCAAATAACATTTACATTTACACATTTCTGTAGTGTAGTACCCGGGCAACAGAATTTTTAGTTAAAGTTTGTGACTTTAGGTGTACTTTGGGTCGCTAAAGCTAAAAATCATGGTCTTCTGTTGCAGAAACGAACGATTTTATAGGTGCAGCGCAAGAAATATTTCAAAAATTTAATAATCTACTAATTAAGAACGTGCCTGTAGCACGGCCACGAGTGTACCAGCACAACTTTAATTTTTCCGGGTTTCACGTACTCTTCTGTACAAAAGTTCTAAAATTTCAGCCAATCATGGTAGTTTGGAACGTTGTTTCCTACAGACAGAAACGAGTTTCACTCATGTCATATAATAAAAATTGGTATTATTGCGGTTGTATTTTACTAAGTAGTGTGCAGGCTTGTACTCTATAATTGTAAACTTAGACTTGAACAAGCTAAAATACTATCGAAGTCACATATTTAGGCAAAAGAGTATTTTTTTTTATTATAAATTCTGTATATGTGCAATCTATCATACAATGATATTTAGCGATTATTTTGGGAATCCTTTACGTCGGACAATTACTAATACAAATATTCATTACATGTTGCATGTTCCGATTACGCATAAATATCTTTTACAATAATTTGAGGTTACATTTAAGAGCAAACTGTAAGTGTGTATAAAATTTTAAGTTAATCAGTATTGTATTTAACACTAACCATACCAAGAACTGGTCAAATGACCAGATTTAAAATTCTAGGTTTTTTTTCGTATACGTAATTTTAATATCAATTACTCTACTGTCTTTCCTTTTGTTTCTATTTTCACTACAAAACATTTGTCACCTAATTTGTTTATCTTTATTTTACAGCCAGTTATTTGATCAGTTACTGCAGGAAAAGTGTCGGTGCGATTAGTGTTAATGTTAGGTACAGAACAAAGAAAAACTACAAAATACACAGTGCTATATGCAATGCCAATTTTATAAAATAAAGTAATAAAATGATCATGTTACAATTATTAATTTGATTGATTAAACTTTTTCTGCAAAATCAATTTTGTACCAGGCTACCATCTATATTGATTTTTAATCAATCGTTCTACTTTTTGCCAATATTGTTTCTGTTCCTGTATTCAATATTTAGCCAATTTAGTTTTAATAACGGCTCCGATATGCGTTTGCATACTAAATTACAATTGTACAATATTCCGATAGAATGAAATAGTATTGTTTCTATTCCGATGGAGTGTCGTGTGTTCAATTGGTTTATTTAATTTTTTAGATATGTCCAGATGTTATTCGTTTTAAATTTCGACTTTTACCTTTAGAGAACCGGAATTTTTTTTCACGCAAATATTAATTTCTGTTTTGCACATATTTATTTATACATAATTTGTATAGGTACATATGTACTTAATTGTTGTACAGAGTTAAATGGTTTTTACGTTCGCTACCAGCATTTGTTTCGGTGACGATCTTCTCAATTGTAATATTTTATTCAATTCAACAAGTCTTGTAAACGAAATATTGAAAAACTCGAATTGAAACGAACCATTCAGTTCGTAAATATAATGCCATAGTTTATATCGTTAAATAACAATGTCTTCAGACTGAATTCCAGTTATATTATATAAAATATAGTCACAAATATATGACGCTGGCAGCGAACATGTTAATCATGAACCTGTGATTGGATTAAATATTTTGAACCTACATACCAGTTTTACGAACCCAAACCAATAAATGCGTGCAAAAACTTTGAGTTTGAACAGCTACCACGTCTCGTAAAAGAAATTTCTTCCTTAATCGTATCAGATGATAGCTGTATGAATGCAAAATAATATTACATAATAATTTTTCATTTCAGATAATACCAAGGTTAGGTAATATCACGTCAACCGTACAATAAGTAGCAACTTGATTTATGGGCCGTAGAAACTCTATTTCTGAATAAATCTAACAGCAAAAATTCAGGAATCATAATGAAAGTACAGTAAAAATATACGCAAATTTCAAGCAAAAGACATTCATACATTTTTCTACAAAGAATGCTAAAAAATCCATATTTTTTACCGAAAGAAATGAGATTCCCCTCTTAAACTGCTTTTTTTATTTTATTGATCGTTGTTCCAGTTTATACACTTTACAGCAAAAACTAAAGGAGCTTTGGTCTTCTTTTCTGGACGAGCAATCCGTTTTTCCTTTTCAGTTAATACAAAATTGATTTCTTTAGTTCAATTTGTCTGTTTAAGTTTTTCAGTTTAAGTCAATTCGATGCATATTGAATTTTATCACTGTTACTTGGTAAACGTTTACGTCGATTTTGGTTAACGCGGTTACACCAATACGTATCGTAATTGTCGATTTTTAAACGTCTAATTTCCAAGATGTAAGTGATCGAATATCGATTTTTCCAAGAAGAATAGAATAAACTCTACAATAAATGTCCATAAATCTAGTGTTAATGCTTTTCAAGCTGTTCATTTACTGATTCTCATTACAATATTACCTTTTAATAGTTTCAGAGCCATTGATATTGTTGTATCTTACGAAGTGATGCACTTTTTCAAACTTCTTTCGTATTAAGAGGATAATTTCGGACGACCTCTTATAAACGCAACAACCTCACTATAATATCGTTTATCTCATTTTTTGTACTATTCTTGGTCAACTGCAAATCCTGCAATTTATATATTTTATTTGATCAAATAAAAAATAATATAATAAGTTTATTAGTATATACGGATGGGGTCTCAGATCTAAAAATTTATCGGCGAACGTTCTAGCTCGTTTCGTATTTGTGTGAAACGAAGAAATAAGTGTTTTCTTCCACACCCTAGACATCTCATTCAAAAGAATTAAATCATATTTGCAATACTGGAAGAATTAAATTGAAATAGGTTGATTAACTTCATGATCGATCTCACGAGAGTCATACCAACACGTTTAATCGATCAATTATCCTTTGAATAATATAAACGTTCTCGATATCCTTTCACTTAATCAAATTAACATCTTTATTTAAACTGCGTCAACCATTCACCTGCGATATTTAAACAACCGTGACGTATGTCCTAGCATGCTTATAACGAAGCAATTAATTCGAATGACAGTTAAAAACAATTAAAATGTAAAAACTGTATTTCATATGTTTCATTTCCAATATATTTCATCATGTTATTCATATCACAAAAGAAACGAAAGGAAAAGGAATAAAGAGTTTTATTTCGTTTGCGCCTCAATTAAGAATATTTCAAATGTTTTATTATTCCGTTTAACGCTTTGCATACGATGGTCAGTTGATTAAAAGGTTTCCCAAGTCGAATCGACAGTTCCCTTTGAACGACAATTAACCGCTCGCTCGTACCCTAATGTTATAAACTATTTTCGCCGATAGGTATTCCCAACATTACTTTGTACCTCGGCGCAAGTCTGGTTTGACGTAAATTGGACGTGAAATATAATTTACTCCCGCATTTAGCGTTGTGTTCGTCGTTGCGTTCCGGAATTCGCTATGTTCGTGTCAAATACAAGACTACAGTTTCATTTTACTAGGTTTATAACAAACAAGTAATTACGCGTGCACTCCAGTGTGCTTGGTTAACGGCAATCCATTGTTCCTTGGTCGGCCGCGTGAACTTTCTACAGAAAAGTGACAGAGACACGAGTTGCGTCCTATACGGAAATACTCTTCCCGTTTCGGGTAATGCTCGATAGTTGAATGCGCGATGATTTCTGCAGACCGTCTGCTAAAACTAATTTCATGAAATGACCCAAATGTAATTAGATATTATTGGATTCTTCGCTATTGGTAGGAAGTCACCCTTTACAGGAAAGCTTTTTGACAGAGGAGTATCTTACACTTACGTACGTTTAATTTTTATAATTGCACGGCAGAAAAATCCTGCCTTCCATAGCTTGCAATTAATAATTAAATCATGAACAGATTCCGATACAATGTATTTTTACCTGATCGAGTAAATTGACTTTTTTCCGAGTGTCTATCACGCTCATTTAAACTTGCACGCCATTCGAGAAACCGGAAACGTTCGACGAATAAAGCATTTATTTATAATTTCGAGGGAACATTTTTCGAGTGTTTGACAAGTCATTTATGGAGAATATACTGATGTTGGATTAAATTTCAACTTTATCGAAATGGAGCTTTCTCATTGGCAGAGCCGTTTGTTTGGTTTAAATTTGATGCGTATGATTAAAAGTCTGTATCCTGACCAGTTGTACGAATTTTAGTAAATAAAATAAAACATTAAATTGAATCGAGTTACTATAACAATTTATTGCCATAAAATAAAACAGAAAGAGGATCGATTTTATGAAGTTGACATCGTAAGGATGTGGACGAACAAAATTTATGTGATACCTTTGAAATGGTACCATTTTAATGGCTACTACTGTACAATTCTTTTGTTCTTATGAAAAATCTTTTTGTCAGATACATGTATATTTGATTAAAGGTGGTGAGGCTCCAAAAGTTAAGGACTGCCCGAACGACATAGAAGTTACGGGGAAAAATGGGTCAACGATAACGTGGAGCGAGCCAATATTCACGGATAATGTGAAGGTGACCCGTATTAGAAGTAACGAGGTCAGTATGAATTATATACTGTCTGTTTAATGCAAATATGGCAGCAGCAAAATAAATTTGCATGATATGCAGACGACTAACCGTATATAATTTCTATTTATAATATTCAATTTCTTAAACTTTCAGACTGCCTTACTCGATACTTCTGTGACACAGAAATATTATGTAATTCGATTAAATATCAAAACTGATTCGACTTTATTCGTGAACACATGTACATTTTAATATATTGATAAAGTAATTGATTATTAACACTCTACGTTTCTATACGATTAATTGTATGGCAACACATGACATTATTATCTTTAATGGACATACGAAATCTAATCAGTATGAAAACCACATATATAATAGTGATTATAAATTTTACATACTGTTTAAATACGGAAACTTTATTTGCAGATTTTACAAAACATTATCAAGTACTTGAACATTTGTTAAATATTCCAATGAACGGAATAACTGGCCATAATTAGAAGCAGTTCCAATTATTCTGTCTGAAAATACTCTTGAATAGAAAGTTTTATTATAAATTATTATAAATAATATTTTAATGATAGCTTTCTGAAAGTTCCCCTCCGTTCCCAAGGTTTTCTTAGATTCCCAAGTGTCGCTAATACAATATCTATGATTTTGCAAAATTACGATGAAGCATATAACGTATCTCTCATGAATATTGACATTCTACTTCTATGGGTATCAATTAATGTGCATGATGAAATGTTGGCTGACGAGATAGTGAAAAAGGGAGTAAAAGGCGTGTCTCATTCATTTCACCCATTTCTTCCTTTGACGCTTTCGGAGTGCGTCGTTGGTAATTTGGCCGATACTGAAAATACGTGAATAAAAGGGAGGCTATTATAATAGATTTTAATCAATGGTGCAGCCATGAGATACTAATTACACCCACATTTCTTTGTCTAGCCAATTCGTCATTAACGCACTGTATTATTATGTAACGCCAAAAACTGGAGAGTGGTAATTTGGTATCGGGGTTAGGTGACGGGAATTACGACTCCATTCGCCCATGTGCCGTTTTACTATACAACTTTTCAAATTATATTACGCTTGATCTTACTTTAACACATCGTTGACCGGCAGTTTTATGCAGAAGCTATCCTATGTCATCGGTTATTATTTAAATATGAAAGTGAAACAATCGAAATAAACTTCAATGTACTTTATTCATACACAATGAATTAAAATGAAACTTCTGACATCTGTTTTATATAACTTTGAATATTTTGCTTTCGCAATATTCTATATTGATCTGCGTTTCAAAAATTGAAATGTATAATGCAAGTTCAAACACAAGTTAATCCGTGACCGGTCAACAATGTGTTAACCTTTAAGTATGGACGTGTGCTCTATATAAAATATCGTGAATTTTGTTAGCAATAGTTGATACTAAATTAGATGAAATTACTAGGAGCTGATCAAGCTTGTCACACAGTTTTCTAAAATCAACGTATCGTATCATCGATGTCAATTTGATCCAGGTTTAGTAGAAATCGTTCGCGCAAGCTGCGGAAAATTTACAAGCTTTGCACAGGCAACGGTCTATGTTTCTATGCAAATATCGTACAACAATTTTGTTTACCAACTACTTCGCGATGGCGAGACACATTCTGTTGCACGTAACATCATGTATGGAATATTAAGTCGTTCTGCATTATAAATGCTGGACACCTTTTTACATTTCTGGTGAATTGTGAACCCTTCGTTAGATTATACTGATGTTTTAATCTAGTGGACAGTGAAATTGTCTTACAAAGATAAAACTTACGCCAAAATTTTTAATGTTTGCATCCATAAATTAAGTAACCTTGAAACAGCTACGAACCATTGCTGTTGCTTTTAAGGAAAGAAAATATTTAAATGAAAAAGTATTTAAATAATTGAAGATGTTTAAAAGTGTGACGATACCTGAAACGTAATATTATAAAGAATTCTATTTAAGAATCATAAACATTTCAGTTAGTTTGTTAAAAGTATTAATGCAACGAGTGGATTCTCAAATGTCAAAATGTTAATTTCTATAAAAACTAATTAGTACTCGCGAGAGCATGCAGAACGTGCATCGAAATTTTCACGAATTCAGCTCCCAGAGGACACTTATAAATGTTACCTGAACTGTTTGTTTCGCGAAAAACAATTTTCAGTAAGCATATGTGCGGAAATTGCGTTCCATGAGTATAGCTCTTAAAAAATATTATTTGGTGCGTATATACCGGCCGATTCTTGCAATTGGGGCGGATTATATTGCAAGAACGGTAAAAGGTATAAAAAAATTGATTAGCATGAAAATACCTATTTTTCTGCAAACTAACATATTTTATGATCGTTTATTTTTTACTATAGATCGATTCTTCGTAACATTCTGCTTTAACCTTTAACTATGAGCGTGAATTTAATCTTTAAATATGGAAGTTTGAAAATGACCGATTAATATTAAACATTTTCGTTTATTCAAACTAATAAAAAAATTATTGTATTTATTTGTTTTCACTTATTTAAATATCGGCGCGTCTGGAGAAGGAAACGACCACATAGGTATCGGATCGCTGATTCATTGCTGATCGTCTCAAAGATGACATTAATGATTTTTTGATTAGCGACTGTACTCCAACCGTTATTGATTCTTCGAGCAGGTTCTGTTTCAATGTTTCAGAATCCAGGACGTCGTTTCAACGTCGGTGGTCATAGAATAGAATACGAGGCCAGCGACGACGCTGGCTGGTCGAGCAAGTGCGTGTTTACCGTGGTCCTTCGCCAGGAGTAAATCCCGGCAAGTCTGATCAACTGAGATCGAGTAGAAGAATGAAACGCCGAAGAGAAGAAAATCCAGGTAAATGGGTAGGGTAAGGGCAAAGGTAGCGAGATGGAAGGATAACGATAAGGTAATATAAATGGAAATGCTCCGGAGTCGTGTACAGCCACACTTCACCGCGCGCAATAGATTCTACTTTATCCGGAAGGTTAACCCCTTTTCCTATAATATCGAGTCAGACTCGTGATGAAAATTTTCAACCGAACTCAACAAATCCAACGGTTATTTATTTATTTGTCATATAAATGAAATATTACTTGTCTATTGTCGATCTTTAACCTTTAGAGCAGGCCTGTCCCACGGTTGCTTACGGGCTGAACTTTGGACAAAGCCAAGAGCATACGTTCCCGAAACGAGGGAAATACACTTGTGTGAGTGTCCACGCGGTAGGGCCTTAACCAGTTAACTGCGTTCGACGAGTACATGGGTCATCTTAAAACTTGAAATGATACCAATTTTTTCAACGACGAATGCTTAATTTTTTCCGATGAACATGTAATTCTCCTTTCTTTTGCTTTGGTTTTTTTTATTAAAATATACCCTAGACGCATTCGTTCTGCGTTTGACGAGTATACACTTCATTTTTTCATTTTGTTTTTAGGATTTTTAAAAATTTTCTAAATTTTTAGTTGTTTTAAATTAAATTCCACAGTTAACAGGTTAAGACAGGCGATCGTTACTACATATACACCAAGGGTGCCAAATCGGTGCGCACGGACACTCTAGTGACATACTCTTTACGAAAAGTTACCCCAATACCTACATTTACCTGTTTGTAATTTGCTATTCGCTAATACAGTTACACGTGACCAATTAAAACCATAAACAAAATCCCTGGCGAGAGATTTCATCTTGCGCCTGTGTCATCCTGTGTCTTTACTCATGAACAACGCTTACAAAGTAGTAAATACACAAAACAGCCATCTTTGCCTGCGGCGGCGTTATGGGCTGCCCGTACGTGCAAGTGGACGGATAAGCCTGTTTTATGGTCCCCATACAACCTACAAGTGATGAGTTTGAATCATCCAAAGTTTCATGATACATGTTGCTCTTAAACAAAAAGTGAAAAAGTCTCAAACCCGTCGCTTGTTGCGATGCTTGCATCGTCGCATATTTCAGCGTGTATGGGGCCCTTTGGAGTAACCGTGGACATAAAATAAGCATACAAAAATTTGTTGTCTTCCAACTAAATTATTATGGATAAAATTAGTTCTATCAAGCACAGTCGCGAAAGAAATCACAGGACAGGGGGTTAAACACGGACAAGACACAGATATCTTTCCATGATATTATACATACGTGTGTGTATGTTCATAGATATAAATATCGCATTTTAGTTACGGACGAGGTACGCAGAAATCGCCATCTTCCAAAATGTAAAGACGCGTCCCTTATTTTCCAAAGGGTCGAATATGATGAATCAATTTGAAATTAATTTTATTTGTTGAATGGCTAGAACGATAATACATTTACATAATCCATTATGTTCCGATTGTCATTCTTATTTCTTATTGTTGTATTTATTTTTGATACTGAAACTGTTTTTAAATTACACACGCATTGGATATGAAGTATTTTTTACCATCATTAAGGTATAAATACATATTTTCAGTTTTTAAATTAATTTATGTATTTAAAGTATCTATGTAGATATCCTTGAGTCATATCAGAACTTGAATGAAAACGACATTTTACGAGAACTTTAGGATATACCGGTTTAACCCTTTTGTCCCAAATGATACACATAGGTACCACGAACAATTGAAATTGCAAAGTTAGAAAACGCCTTAAAGATAAAGGATAATTGTACCACGCGGGGTTCTCTATTTGTGGCTGATAGTTTAAGTGATAATTATTATTATTATTAGGGCTTGTCTCATTTCTTTGATTGAAAAGCTTCAATCTCACTTAACAGCAGCTATTCTTGGCTCTCTCTTAGAAGAAAAAATATATATTCAGGGACAAAAGGGTTAAATAGAATTTGTGTTGAACCGTTTAGAATATTTAAGAATCTTCGGTGTTTTCTCTTTTTTGAGGATTTGGAACGTATTAATTATTACTGGCAATGATATTTTTTAAAGTGGAAAATATCTACCGATTTATGTATCAAGTGTAATTATTTGTAATATATGTATCTATTATTATATGCTTCCTATTTTTCGTTAAGTGAGCGGATTGTAACAAACTAATAGTAACTTTAAAGAATTGCCTAACAAAGAGAATTTAACGTTCTTTAACGCTAGATTTACTAAACGAGTCAAATTGACTCACTCGAGTTTCTTGTGTCACCATTATTAAATAAATTGTTTTATTTATATAATTACTACAATAAAAGTTATTTGAAATCTTAGTAACTGTATTCTTGTGATTTCTATGTACAATACAAGTTAGTCACTGTTGACTGCCTTGTACACTGCGAAAATGACAAATTAGCTAGGTACAGGAATACGAGACTGATTAGTATATTATGGACTAATCATTGGTTAAAGTCTAATAGATTCATCTTCTTTCAGACGTATTTTCGATGTTTCGTAAAGGTTACGACGACGTCAAAGGTGGTGTGCAATTCTGCTAGACAGTTTGTCATCTCCGCAATATATTTCCGGCGTTAATTGTACAACCCAAATTCATTTCGGTTATTTAACCCCTTCAAGCCTGAATTTTCTTTAATTCAACTGAAAATATTGTATTATCATTTTTGTTTAATAACAATATTTCATTATCATATTTTGAAAATATTTTTTTATCAGATTTTTGTTATGCTCTCCTTGTAGCATACCAAGTGTGAAGGGGTTAAATGAAAATATAACTAAAAAAGATATGTGTACATTAAAATTAAATTAATCCTAGATCACTAAACTATATTCCTTTGAGTAACATTTTTTAATATCATATCAACGGAAGGAAGAGTAACTTTGCGATTTCTTTTTAAATAAATAATACAGAAAATATAAATAAATCAGATTACATAATAATATAATAAATTAAACCGCATAAATAATAGATAAGATTTTTATTTCGATGAAAAACTAATAATATAGGGTTTAAGTTGAAACGAAATAGGTATTTGAAGAATGTTTAAAAACGTAAAGATGGCGATATTCATGTTGTTCCGTTGTTTGCGACAAAATGCAGTTTCTGCGACAAGAATGCGACAAACGCATTACCTATCGTCAACAACACATACGCACATAATGTATCCTACACGAGTCCCAGAGATTCTGCAGTTTTCACTTCGCCTTTCTTTCCGATATAGGGGACACGTGGTATACCTTACTTGTGAAGGGAATACATCAAGTTGGGGAACCTTTCAACCAGCACACGCCGATTTTGTTAAAACTTATGCGAGACATATTTCTCAAGAAAATATTTGACACATATTTTTTCTTATCGGCCAACATCCACTTTGAAGGGATGAAAACACCCCTCAAAGTTGTGGGTTGAAAGTATATTTTTTACAATATCTGTAAAAGTAGGGTGTGTAGAATGGAAATTTTTTTTTAATACTAAAACTACCAGACGAGTCAAATTGACTCATTTCTAAATTCTTCTTTCCCAATTACTGACAATATAATAGATGCTTCTTTGAGAAATTATTAAAGAAATTGATTTAGTAATATGCAACTAAATCATGAGTCATTTTAAGTTTCAGTGGCTGCACTCTTAGAGTTCCTATAGGAAAACTTGAAAAAGACAATTTGACTGCTCGGTAGTTTTACTGTTAAATTAGTATGAACTATGTTTCACATAAGTTACATCAAAATCGGTTGTGTGCTGGTTGGAAAAGTTCCCTTGTCGGATTCAACACTGATTCGAGACAAACATAGATCTATCAAACGAAAAGTTTTAACGGTCTAAACCGATCTATGTGTTCATGTTGCCAAAGACGAGAGATGAAGAAGATTATCAATACCGGTTCGAACGCTGAACAATACATCACTTACGTAGAACTTCTGACTTTCTTCAGCAATCAGCTCGTTAATTGAAAGCAGAAGAATAAACGATTGTATAAATATTTTAATTGTAACTTCCTTGACGGATTTTTAACTTTCAAGGTATTGTACGAAGAGACAATTATTAAACGTAAATTGTATTAAATGAATTATGTAGGTAAAATAAAGTTCTTATGTAAAACAAAAAGACTCGCAGTCTAGTTATAATTTTCAAATAAAGACCACTATGTCATGTGTATGTTTCAGTCAGATTTTTAACCCCTTGTTCCACGATTTATTTCTCAACAATGATTGATACAACTACATTGTTATTAATAATTTATTGAAAAAAAGAGAAAAATTCTAGGCATGTTATATGTCTACGTATGAGGTCGAAATCGCGGAACGAAAGAAACCGAAGGTGTGGAGGCCAGGACAGAAATTGAACGTACTCAAAATTAAAATAAATCAATAACACGTAGAAGAAGAAAGAAACACATAGTGACGAAGTACATAGATTATTTGTGAAATAGTTGAAAAGAAGAACCTCTAATGAAAGAGATACAATATTATATATAATAATACATAAAGATTACATCCTCTTCCTTACGCGACATTTTTTAAACTGACAATATTTTCGCCACTAATATGCTATTTACCATTACGATCGTTAATTTAATACGGTACTATTAAACCTTTACGGTTTTAATCCTAAACCCTTGGCACCCCAAAGTTTTTCGAAGAAAAATATACATAAATTAAAGAACAAAGCTACTTTATTTCAATATTTCATATGTTGATGCATCATACAAAAGTTAATATTATACATAAGACTTTATAATTTTGCTATATTAAATCAAGTGGTGACTGATAGTCATTTCTTGAGTGCAAAGGGTTAAAAGATAAACCTAACAACGAAATGGGCCTCAAGCATCTCATCTATGTAAATGACAGGCAAAACTGACCGAAGAGATGTTACTTAGATCTCAAATACTTCTTCCAGGTATTATTTGTAAATAAAACAAACTAGATCATTGGAAAGGTGTATTTGCATGTTAGTACCTAGATTATTTTTATTGATTAATTTCTAGTGAATCGTGAAGAAGGTTTGACTCACAATGGAGTTCACGTGGTTGTGACGGTGCATCGATCGGTACTCGAAATTTTGGTCCAGGCGATGTTCGAGGGGTTAACGAGACTGCTCGCGATTAATTTCGAAATTGAATGGTTCACCGGGTTCGCTCTGCACGCGTTCCAGCTGTCAACCGGGACAACGATAGTTTTAATCCTGCCCGCGATCGTGTAAAGGGGTGGGTCCGGTGTTCGGGATCGAAACCGAATGGATTTATGGAAATTACAAAGTCCACAAGAACATCAAAGCGTACCTGAGCGAGCGAGTGTATCTATTTTGCGCTTCAACGAACAGGCTACAATTAACTACTTGCCTTATAGCGTCGAGTCGGACACGTGGCGAAGAATTTTAATTGAATTTGATCAATGGCAGGATTTTACAGTTCGAATCAAATGAATTACACTTCCAACGGTTTTCAACATTTTTCACGGTAATCGCGGAAGCAGACGGCCAAAACGTAATTTAATAATAACTTTTATTAGCTACTAAGGTATGTACAGATATATTAAGTAAATAAATATTAAAAGCTTGTATTTACTCCTTTTGCTTGTGTTATGGCATTCACCACTTTACGGCATACTGCGTATGCATTTGGTAATCATATCTTTAATTTTGGGATGATTTTGTTGAATTTTGACAATTTTTGTTGTTAAACCTGTTACTATAGTTGTAGGTGATGCGTATGCAAGAGAAAATAAATTCTGAATGCCGGAACATTATTTATAATAATATGGATATTATTACCATGGAAATATGTAATATGTATGTACATCCTCAAGTAGTTAATAAAAATGCATATGCTATTATGCGTCTATGAATATTGAAATTTTACAGTGAATCTAGTAATAAGCATATAATGTAACGGTATCTAACACTTATGGAACACTTGATTTGAAAAGCTTGCCAAAACGAATGATATGCATTTTTTTCAACGAAACCTTCATCAAAACACGAAGAAATTAATAAATGTTCATACACTGATTCATAATGATGGAATTTAAATGCCTTCAAACTAGGGTAAAAAATGTAAATAAAGTCAAAAACAGCAATTTGAAAAAATGGCTCTTAATATGGAACATTTAGGTAATTTGTAAATCAAACTCATTTTTATCACAAGAAAATCAATTTGGTCTAAAATATTCCAATGCTTTGAACATTTATGCAAAACGCGCGCACACACTCGTCGCGTCATTCATCTATTGCACGCACGTCCATTACTCATCAATATATCCATTCTCACACTCGAATACATCCATTCTCGCATATATAATATTACTAAAGAAAAACAAACATGTTCAATGATAAATCGTGTAAATATAAAATTTTTTGGTGTACCTATATTAAGAAATTTGACTAGTTGACTCGTGTTTCAGAAAATTTAACGTACCATCAAACGCAATAATGCTTCGCATTCAATGACAGGTTCTTAATTGATGTTATATATTAATATGATTGTTTTATATTATTAAAGAAGTCTTTCCCATGGTAACTGACACATCAAGCTACTTATTTCCGAAATATTGTGGTGTTCCATATTAGGCGTCGTTGGCTTACGTAGTGTGCCTCTTTAATCTACAAATGCAATTATTTTCTGAAATATTCGTCATTTAAATAATCTCAAATGCAGTTTCTTCGGTGTCATCTCTTTGAAATACAACATAGAGTCAGACTCATGAGGAATTTTTGAAACGGAAATTACAAGAATTAAACATCACTCAATTATCTTGATTTCAAATTGAATTGTATTTTTCTATTATTATTCTGTATATATAATTTTTTACTATTATTCATCATTATGTTCTGTAGTAATGGTATAATGGGAATTTTTCTTTGCTTTTTTTGGTAAATTAATAACGACAGTTATCTTAGCAAGCGCAGTTATAAAAAAATCATAGGGCAAGGGATTAATGGATTTTCCAAGAGGGATTTCAGAGAAAGTAGCTTGGACACTTTATTTGATAAATCCTGTTTCATTCCTCTTTCTATTGGAAAGTAATTAAGACAAATGATAATAAACTTAATAACTTTTGCAAGATTTGTCATGAAATAAATCATGATGCAAGGTGTTAATGTAGCTCGAGATTCTTTAATTGCCTCGCGATTTGCATTTTCGGTTAATTTATTGATACAGCCTCCGAGCTTCACTAATTACGTCTCCCCCGTACGAATCTTTAATTACCCGAACGATCTTTTTATTTGCAACCCTCTTAAATTCAAGCTGCTTCCAAATTTTCAGACATTTACATCTTCGGAATGGTACTTCTTCTTCACCCAAATGGTACAAATTGTAGAATCGTTGAGAACGATACTGAGAAACTTGTAAATTGTTTCTCATGTTTTGCATTTATCGACAATGATGTTAACTTCGAATTAATTTATTCTTCTATTGCTTCTTCATTGATTTTGCATGCTAACAATTCTTGTTTTCTTGTATTACAAATTTTCAAGGGAAATGTTTGAATTTTGTTCGACCTGTGCCTTTTGTTGAATCATTATTTTGATGTCACAACACATTCAGTGTCTTTTTAATGTGCACGTTAATGAAAATAATTTGTCATTTATTTACTGTCGATTGCAGTAATGATAATATTTTGTAAATTACTTTTATTATGTGATAGTGCTTTTAATTGTGTGATAGTGTTCTATATTTTTTTTTGTACTTTAAAAGATTGAAAACTGTAGGGAACGTTTTTCTTGTTATCATATGAGAACTAATGGTAACTTGATTTAGGGGTTCAATCGTCAATCAATGTAAAATTCAATGGAATTTCTATTAAACTACACATTGAAAATTAATTATCGAGAAATTATCGGTAAAGTGTATTAATAATGGTAGGGATAATACATTTGTTATGTAATTAGAAGTCACTATATAGTTTGTGATACCTTCGATTGTACCTATAAGCGTTGTGTACGTTCGAACCTGTAAGTTTTAAAGGAATATGAATAAAATTAGAAAGAAGATAATAAAATATTTCTTTTGAATTCGTTATTAAAAGTATCGATGATTACAAAGATTTTTAAATAATATTTATTATTGGTAGATCTCAAATAATCAAGAAACAAAAAAGTTTATTTTCATACAGAAATGGTCAAGATTTTATTGAAATAAGCTATGACGATGAAGGATAATTCATAAAAATTTAGTGGTGTCTGTCCAATTGAGTAGTCATTTACTTTCTGTTTTTATCGAAGTAATTATTTACTCAAATAATCATTATTCCATTTGCGTTTTGAATTTATTGATATTGTGTTACGTGAATTGAATAATATATGTAAATACTTACATGAGTTCGCAAAAGATCAAATAACACGTTTTGTATAAAAATTAATACAAATTACATAATGTTATGAATATTTCGGAACTGTAATATGCAATTTGTATAATGTAGGTATACCTATAAATGAAGATATATAATATTTATATTATTAATTTTATTCAATTTTAAAAATAATTTTTTGTTCCTTTTCAACCCATATAAAGTTTTTTAAAGGCAAATGTCGAAAAATTAATTTCAGCTAGATAATTATTTTTTTACAAAATTGTTAACGTATTTGAAAAAGAATGATCATTTTAAAAAATTGTATTGTACCATGTAGTTTAGTATGTTTTGTAGAATAAAGTATGCAATAGTAGTATGAACATCGAACATATGATAATGTTCTTATACTATTGCCACATATACAGCAAAATCCAAGTTGAATTCCATCGAACATATACAGGCTGAGTTGTAATTAATTGCAACTTATCTTGAGATCTGAACTGTAAATCAATTTCTGTTGTGTAAAAAGAAGAACAATTGACAATAACTCAATTTATTTTCCTTTAATACTGAAAAGTGTAATTGTGTTTATGGGTTAAGTCTGGGTTAATACAATTTGATCGAAACGAAATAATCTTTCAAGCTAACATTTCTCTTGGTTAAAACGAAATTTCGGAAGCAAAAGTCATCGCAAGGTCATAATATAGTAGCACATTCTCTTTAAGTAGAATTCTCTTCAGTAGAATTCTCCTTAATAACTGGTTATGAAAGTTTGCGATCCAAAATATCTTATCATTAAAAAAAATCAAAGTCATCTTGAAATGTTCCTTAAAGAATAATTTTTAAACATTTCCCTTTATCAAAAGTTAAAACAAAAAATGATTACCTTTTGTTCAGAATGTTTTTGTTGTATAATAACCGTATTTGCCGAAAAACTCTTTGGAACCGATAAATTGTACACCCTGTATATTACAACTGTAATATATACAGAGTTTTCAAAATGTTTACTATCTAATGAAATTTGCGTCTGCTTTAATAATGGATGTGCTACTGTTCGAATACTTTCCTATTCCCATACAATGGTGAATAGACATTGTTCGGCGTTGCAACGTTTCTACACGATGTCCCACCATTATCTTCAGATTCCGCCTTCATCGAATAACATTGTTGCGAAGGTACTGAATACTTAATAAAGTTGAATGTTGGATAATGGGTTATTAAGCATGCGATGGTGTATAGTGAATCAAGAGGCTCTATTGTATAAAATAATTATACTCTGTACATTCTTGTCACGTCTTGCACAGTTTTGTTTTCCTGATGCAAGGACTCATTGTCGTTACAAGAGTTGTCAATATTACTCGAAACGAAAATATTCTCCATATTTACATTTCTCAAGTGGAGCATGTTATTTAAAATATAAAATATTCCCGTTCAATAACGTATGAAGCACTTTTAGTGCGACATGCACGATTCACGAAGTTTCAATTTTAGTTTGAAAAGTTTTTATAATTTATGATAGAATTTTTTAACAAAACCATTTTTAGTTTCGCAAAATCCGCGTGTATAAAAATATACTTTTTATTCCTGCTTACAAGGCACAGTAATAAATTTTAACTGGGAGCTTTTGGAGCACATAAAAATTATACTGCGTAAAATTACATAAATGCAGATTTTTGTAGGCTGATCACTATAAACTCGAATTAAAAGAGAATTAGCAATTCCTGCGAGTTTGTTAGAAATCTTTAAAACGCGCGACAAAGTTCAAAGCATTTATTCTTTGTTTGTAATGATAATATTCTTTTGTTTATAGCGATCTCTTTTCAGTCTGTCTGAACTGGTGAAAACTGAAATTTGTTGTGTTTAAAATATTTCCTCCTTTGAGTGTAATTCATTAAATGTATATGTGAATATCATTCAGTTATAAGAATTAGTTATTTTAAAAAAGTTAATTTAAAACATACTTCGTTTTATCATAGTACTGCTACAGTTGGTAAAATAAAATAAAAAGCTGCCTAAAGCACATTACTTTTAGCTATACCGAATTTTAAAGAATTGTATACAGATATTTCAAAAGAATAAAATCATCAATTGAATAACCTACATTTTGGTTATTTAACCAATCACGTAAGACCTTTCTCCTTTGACGATTTCTTAACTATTACCTAACACAATTTGAGAAAATGACATGCTATACGATTATTTTTTGCAGATTTAGTAATGTGTTCCATATAAAAAGTACGTTGATTGATAATAAATGTGGTTTAATAGAGTCAACGTCCCCGAAGGTAATGATGACCAATTAATCTGTCAGCCACTCACGTTGGTATTCAATGCCTTGCTCCGGATCGACATTCGATAAAGGAATTCGGCTATGCAATCAGCATTATCCAGGAGCACTGTATTAATAATGTAGAAATAAATAATTTATGCAAGTAATGCAAATTCATAATTTTGTTAATTGGAGCAACAATTTAAATGTCTTGAACTGTTCGAAATGTATTCATGCATATAGAAGTTCAATAAGTTTTTTAAAATACAAATCGTAAAGCTCTTGTTAGGTTATATGGTTCAAACAAGTAATCTTGAAAAGTTAATTATGAAATTTAAACTGTTAAATAATCGGCGAATAATGAAAACTTAATTTGAAAGTAATATGATATTAATAATTTATTAACACCGGAATACCATGTAATATGAGATACATATAGAGAAATGTTTTATTTATAAACGCATTGTAATGCACTTTAATTTATAAAATTAAAGGCAATGTTTTGTGTTTTGAGAGAGCAGTAATTTAGTACACCTATAATTAGTTAATTATTGGGTGGACACGTATAAGAGGTTGCTACTATTTTTTTAAGTATAACCATGTAATTTCGTTGCATTAATCGGTGCAGCAAATCATTCTGTATAAAAAAATATCAGTCGTTTTCGTATTTATACTTCACCTTTCTTCTAATATGTTAATAACTATAATAAATATACTTCTGCGAATATTGCCTTTCTTTATCTTATGTTACCTTATTTATTTATTTATTTTTTCAACCGTTTAAAATAAAATTTCATATGGAATATATTTTTAATTTGCGTAACTAAACTCGTAAAAAAATAAACACAAGTATTAAAGAATTAATTACACAGAGTAATGTTAGAAATTTTTAATGAGTCTATATTTTTCAAAACTATAAATGACGTTTTTGATGAGAAAATTATCAAGAAATCTGCTAAATGACTTCATGATTGACGATGCCGATGAAATGAGAATTATGGCAAGCTATTTAGATGTTATGTAGTTCTATTGATTAGGGAACGTAATTGATAAAAAATAAGTCACACATAGCATAAGTGAAGTTTCGTTTATTATTTATTGATACCCCCTCACGTCACTCGCATATTATTGTTAAGAAGAAAAAGGAAACTAATGCTCGTTTACTATCGTACGACATTATAATAAATGTATAAAATTTATGTATGAAATACATGTATGTATATATGTGTATGTATATTACAAAAAGGAAGATACCCTATTAATTCCTATACTAATCTTTTGTCTCAATCTCGAAAGGCAATGTTGGATGGCAGTTTAACTTTCCAGCAGCTGTGCCTGGGTTTATTTTGACCCATGTTTTATTTCATTAATAGTTTGTTCGTGTTCTTTCGTATTTTATATTATATATTTCAAGCTTCAAATATTCATTTGATTTATAAATATCTAGATAAAATACCAATTTTTATGACCGTTACTTAAATGAATGAAAATTAATGATGAAAGTGATTGTACTATGATCGAGAAATTTGTTTATTGAACACTTTTATCGTACAATTGTTTTAAATGAAAAGAACAATAGATAAAAGGAAATTATGGGCTAATAATCCAGCCACCGCTGCTGATTGGCCGCTAGGAGCGCAGGTTGTCCGAAGATTAACATATGGCTGTTTTAAATCCTATGAATGTACAGTCAAATAATTATTACATCCTTCGCATAAACTATGAAAAATATTTCAGGGTTAGTGATCTTTGCTACTTGACTCACGGTAATTGGCAAGTTTGACAGATTTGGAGTCAGAATAATTTAATCGAATTAAACGTTGTTTCGTTTCCCTCCTCTCATCAGTCACCGAGCACATATTATCAATAAAGCTCCATTGTTTATAGATATTATTTAATGTCATGTAATGGAATGTATAACGTTTCACCTTCGTTTTAATTGAATATAGAAGAAATTATATCACATACATAATGTATATACGAGAAATATAAATAGTGTGTTGGCATACTGTTTTTTATTTTACTATCTCTGAAACGTTCTCAATTAAAATTGAAGAGACTCATGAGAGTGTGCTTTAGCAATATGATTATAATTTCCATGTGTGCTAAAAAGACATATTAAATAAACAGAGGTTAATAATATATTGAGGAATTCAGCAGATCCTAATAATACGAAGAAGAACTAATAACTTAGGTAATAAAAATAGTTTTCCCAGTATCTAAGAAATCATTTATCAGGAATTTAAAACTGTTTTTAAAATATTATATCATGAACATGATAATAGAAAAAAACGATCACAGCAAACTCTACCTCTTTTTTGATTTATTTATCTTTCTTTTGTAAAACAGCGAAGAGCTTGGACATTTTCGTGGTTAAAGAATACACCTCCCCCAAAATCTTTTTAATAATAAATTTCAGATCAACTGTTTTCAATATTTTACAGCACGTAAACTTTGTTTATATATAAAATTCGACAGAATAGATGTATAAAAAAACCATTATATTCTGAAATATCTATTTATATGATGAGATTTCGAGAAGTAGGGAAAGAACATTTCGTTGATATATTATTAAATTCATATACTGGAAAAGAAAGTATTGAGGCGTACAAATTGTAAAGTGCTAATGATTTTAAGATCTTTGGAAAAGTAGAAACAAGTTCCGATCACTGAGAGCTACAAATATAGAAATTAAGCTTCCCGGTTTTCTTAATTAAACCGTGAGTGTTTCACTTGGAGAAGTAGGCCAGGAATATAACTTTTAATAAGACAGAAGTACCTGCGTTGAGAATTTTTAAAGCAATTTCCTTTAAAGTTCCTTTTGATGCAATTAAACTTATGTAGCTTCGGTTTTGCTGAAACATTTTTCCCAGATAATTAATGAAAATAAATACCCGTAAAAAAATATGTAATGACACTGCGAATTTTTATGTATCCGTAACGAATAAAAGCTTTAAAGATGCAATAGAAAGTTTAATAGAATTTAATACGATCTTCTATTGCCTGTGATTTATCAATTTTTATGAAAGTAATTAACGTTTCTCGTAGATATTCCTCGATATTTCAAAACAATACGACCTCAAATGATAATAATTACTTTTATACAACTTCACGCACTAAAGAAATTCTCAAAATAACGTAACTTCCGTCGTTTCTAAAAGTCTGTAACTCCTTAATCCATTCGAGACCAGGGTTTCTTTAAAAGACAATCTCCATGGACCAAAACATTTTTTCAATTTACATTAAATTTATAAAAAGCTTCCGTTGTCTCATCAAAATCCGCTTTAAGGTCTCAGCTTGAAACCAATACAACTTTCAAGATGCAAACATCCAAATAATCTTGTCTCCACACCATAAAAAGCGACTGCATACAGGTGCATCCTGTCGAGGAAACATCTACATGATATATCCATACACATTGATAAGACAATTTACCGAACGTCTCGTCCATGCAAATTGTAAAGTGCATTGAAGATATTAAAAAACAAAGTCTTTAAACACCTTCGATTTCTATTTTATTCACGTGTGATTGGTCTTTTTATTGGCACACACCATTATCGCATACCTGCTGTATAATTGGTCTCGAATGGTTTAAAAGGCAAAGATCACTATCCATCAGCGGCATTCGTTCAATGGTAGAAGAAGCATATCGCAGGATCTTCGATTCCGTAAACCCGATCGATCAAGAAAAAACGATTCTTGTCCATCGTGTGAAATCGATCGGCTTTAATTAGACTTAATTAAAGCGAGGAACGAACTGGTAACGCCTTCGCCGCTCCCACCTCCGCTGCAGCCACCCCTATATGCGGGGAACCCTTGACATAATTTATGCGCGAGCCGCAGACCAACCTTTCTTCGACAGTTAAATTACTTTCGGTTATTGCGGCTTCGCTGGGAACAGTCGGGTCGATCCTTTACACGCAACATTTACGCCGTGGCAATATTCTAGTCAAGACATGGCCCCGATTGTAACGAGTTGTTGGCGTTGCTACACGATCAGTCTTCGTCGGGCGTTGCTGTTGCTGTTGTTGTTGCTGTTGTTGTTGTTGTTGCTGCTGCTGCTGCTGTTGCTGCAATTCGTACTGTCTTGGTGGCCGATCTGCGAACAGATGAATAAATTACTCGAAGCTACAGAATTAATGGTATGACTCTGAAAAAGATTTAAAACTCTAAAAGTGAGTCTACACGGAAAGATAAGTGAATAATGTTTATAGGAGAGCGACAGAAACATATGTGGTTTTAAACTTCTTGAACTAATCTCCCAAACTGTTCAATTTTCAATATTGATTTATGAAAAAACGAAACTTTACCCGGAAAAAGTGTCGCTGTACATGTTTAACTTAACTTTGTTTATCGACTTTACCGCTTCTCATTTTATGCTTGATTGTAGCAGTAGCTTAATCCTTTTACTAACAAAATGACTTGTATATTATTCATTTTGAACTAAGCTTTCGATTTCAATTAATTATCGTTGGAGTTATTCGAATGATCTATTAATTAGAAAGAATCATCCAACATTCACGTTTTAACTTTTTATTTTGCTGGCAATGGAACTTGAAAATATGTGACCACGAATATTAAATTTGGCTTCTTTAGTAAAAAAGATAGGAACGCATTATTAAGCTTTTCTATAGTTAGGCTTAGTAAATATTTATAATTACATTACTGCTAATTCCTGCGTGCCCTTGTCGCCGTTAAATTGTAAATTTCGCAGGTAATTAATCACTTTTGAACCTTTGTTAACACAAGTGGAGGAACTTCATTATGCAGGAAATATAAATCCTTTGTTTACAACGATGACAAAACAAAGGTCTATAGTACATATAATACGTCCAAGTTTCAAGACCAAAGATGTATCCGGTTTCCCAATTGCAGAAGGGACAATGGACATTTTTATATATGATTTTGGTTATGCATGGACAACAATGAGTGGCATTCTGTATTGTTGTTAGTGGTCTCACGACATTACTAGGTATTATTTCTTCTCTACATATTATTAATTCATTTAAAAATATACATTTTTGATAAAAATAACAATTGCAAAACAATCTTGTATAAAATAAACAATCTTATTAATAAAATAATTGTACAGTGTGATCATTATTATATATTAATAATTCGTTATCTAGAAGACCAGGCAGGATCGATATATTTTAGCCATACTGCTGCAAACCCATATACCACATAATGGTTATTATACGTTAATAACAATCTAATGTTCCTTACCACAGATACATATACAACAGTATTGGCTTAGTAATTCAATACTATCGCGTAGTTACATGTGCACGATACACGAGTGTTATTTGGAAGAAACTCGTGGGAAAATTAATTTACATCTGTTTGAATCAGTTAAAGGCTACATTTATTATTATATTAAATATTTATACTTTTGTTATTAATACTACTACATTTATTACTAATACTAAGAAGACAGGTTTTCTGCAAATTCGAACGATTGTTTAATTTCAAGCTAATGATTGTAGTTTTGTTCGTATCACTTCATAGCAGAAATTGTCTATTACTCTTTAGTTTATTACTCTTTATTCTCCCTCCAGTGATCTGTTGATAGGAAGATCTATAGAAACCATGCACGATCCACGTACTTATCTACATATTCAGTAAGGACGTTGCACAAGGGTTTGCCAAAAACAAACTCATAAATCAGAGAGATATTGCTTAATTGTCGTCGAAAATGGGAGTGGACGACAGTGTTCCAACCAAATCTACATAACTTTGTTATGTAGATCTTTATATTGATAGATATCTTCAAAAGTATGTAATGCAATAAATAATCTTCCGCCAAAATGACATTGTTTAGATTAATCATGAAATAAGCCTACACATATGATCCTACCAGGTAATGTATAAAATATGTTTTTTAAAAAATTTCCAATACTTGGAGACCGTATACCAGATATCCGATTTAAGAAGGAAGGTCCGATACTTGGAGGTATTAACTCCTTGCCATACGATGAGTGAGACTTGTGATGGAGATTTCGAAAGTAAATAATGCGACAAGGGGTTAACGGTACCCATAAATAATGTCATTTCTTGAAATTAAAGTTTATTTAAATCTTTGAAATCGTATATGAAACACTCGATGAGATAGTCGCCGTAATTGTCTACGACATTTTGCCATCTACAAACCAGCTTTTGTGTGTCCCTTTTATAGAAATCTTTTCATTTTTCATTAAAATACTTTCGTATTCCGTTTTCGATTTCGTAATTGAAACATTTTTTACTATTTAAAAGTTGTTGCCGAGATGTAAATAAATGAAAATCGGATTGGACTAAGAGGAGAGTACGACCGATGTACCAAAGTTTCCCAGTCAAGTTCTTTGATTTTTTGCTACGTGACTTTTCCAGTGTGCTGCCTTGCATTGTCGTGCTGCAGTATCACAGCCTTTCTGTTAATCAAAGCAGAATGTTTTTCTGTAATTGCATTGCTTAGCACATGGTTATTATTCCGTAATTAAATATGGAAGTGAAACAATCGAAATAAACTTCAGTATACTGTATTTATACATCATGAATTGAAATGAAACTTTGGACACATCTTTTATATAACTTTGAATATTTTCCCTGTGCAATATTCAAAATCAACAACGTTTACTGTAAATATATTGCGTTTGTGTCAATGGACTACGTACAATCGAGGTACAGTACAACGCTGATTATGTGAACTAATTGGGAGACAAATTCATCCCGATAAACGACTTTTCTGATAATCGGTTTGGAAGAACCAAAATGAACATATCGTAAATCAATGAGAAATGAAAAAAGTTTTAGATGTACTTTCACCCTTTTTGTATGTATTCGATAATATTTATGAATATAAATGAAATATAATTGCAGACATTAACCCTTTGAACTCTGTAGGCTTCAATATTGCACCAGTTATAATATCAAATATTTTAATGAATCTTAAAGAAACTAACTTAAAATTATTAGATTTTCCACACATCCGAATTTTGTACTAAGAAGGAAAATAAAAGATCGAAGAAATGTTATAGCATTTCTCATTTTCGCTAGGAATACTATAAAAATTAGTTGCAGTTGCCGATAGATTAGAAAACAACCTGGAGCGCTGAGGCTTAATCTTGATCAGGCCTTGGGGTCTTTTTCGATCCAACTCGAGATTAATTTTTACTCTGATTTTTATTAAGAGGCGGATAAACGTTAAATTCAAATAAGATACTAAAGTGGATCAAGTGAAGCAGAAAAGATGCTATGTGTTTTAGAATGTAAACATTGTGGCATATATTATTTAATTCGTCTAATTAGTCATTCGCGTAATGGAAACTCCGGTAATGTTTCACTGTATTGTAAAAAGTAACACCAACACACTGTTGACAATAAACAGATAATAAAAGTTGATTTTTTTAATGAAACAATTGCTTTTAAGATCCATGTTGATTAGAAATTTTCAACGCCCTGCAATGAGTATTACAGTAGAACCCCTTATAACGCAATTAAAATATTCTGTGTTACAGGGTTTCACGTTTACAAATTTCACAAGAAATTCCACTTGTGTATACTTGTATTAAATGGTCCAACCTGTATTACGTTGGCCTTTTGCTTGTTTCAGTTTCCGACGGAACATCTCACCTTGATAGTTACTTTTCGACGATTTTTTAAATGAGATTACAGGAAGTCCAATCATATATTCCTTCTAAGTATCCAATTATTTTCTCCCAACAGCCTGTTAGTGCAGCTTGAGTTCAGTATATTTTATAAAATTAACATAAGTAACAGATTTTTAATTTTATAAAATATACTGAACTCAAGCATCAAAAATTATTAACATAAGTGACAAATTTTTAATGATTTTTCAAAAATTATATGGAACACGTTAATAGCTAAAAGATAATGTTAAATTAAATGAAATTGAGGTGGCTCATATTGACGTATAGTTTATCTACCGGACAGTCAGGGATGGTCGAGTGGTTGCAGACAGTTGGGCAGAGATATGATGTGTACGACTGTAAGTATGTATTTATGTTGTATGTATATTGAGCTCTATCTGTTTATATGGTAGCGATAAACGATGATTATCATAACAGACGTCAGACTTCATTCAAATTAATTCGTAATGTGTAAGCTGTGGATTTTCATACACTTATGAGAAATATAAAAGTGCAAAATTGCATACAATACACACTATACGAATACACGTAGAAAATATCCAAAGTGGATTACTTTTTATAATATTTTTTAAACAAAATAATTTCGTGTTTTATTAAGTGTATAAAAGAAAATTATTCCATTAACTATTTCAATGAATGAAATGGAAATGAAATTTATAAATAACATAAATGATTTCCTGTTTTTCTATTCTCCCATTGTGCTGCATTTTTTACGTTACAGTTGGTTTTTAATAGTTTGTCCTGTTGTGTATGAATGCAGAAATAAATGTGCAATTTGAAACAAGCATTTATCTACGATATAAAAGTATAGGTTCCGTCGTTTCCTTTGTTATTTTGTTACGAACTACTATAGAAGTACTCTTATTTTGAAATATTAAAGAACCATTTGAAATATTTAAAATTGTGATAAGAAATAACAATTTTGTTCTAAAGAATGCGAAGAAAATCATTCACATATTTCCATAGTCAATACAACAAAAACAATTCTTAGTCATTCATAAGCTGAAAATATACAAGCGATTTGCAAGCGAAACAGATAACAATAATGTACTTTCAGATTAATAAAATAATTGATTTCCTTTGTATCAGTGTAGTAAAAACATTTTAAAATATCGAAAAATATAACCTAGTTGAAAGGCACTAATAAAAAAGAATCTGTTTACTTTGAAAATAATTATAGTATACAATCTTTTGTAAAGGTTTTCCTTTATTACAGTTTCTGTTAGAAATATTCAAAAAGCGCGCTAAACTTCAGAACATTCATTATTTATTTTATAAATGGGTAACATTTTAGTTTCGTTTAATATTAATTTTTTGTGTTGTTCCCTGAATTGGTTAAAATGAAATCTATCCGTTTCAAAATGTTTATTTCCTCTGATATCATTTATTAAATGATCTGATCCAGTTATAACAATGAAATACAGTTTATTTAAGAAAGTATTTCATCGGT